TACGATTTCACCGTAAGGCGAGATGCTCTTGCTGTTCTTATAACAGACAGTAGTTGGTTTTCATTTCGGAGATTAAAGTAAGGTAAGGGTAAACAATTCTGCTGAGACGATCGTGATCCGTCACCCGAAAAAGTCAAAAGAAATGTATCACGGGCAAGTACAGAAATTCTGGAGGCCACCCAGGACAAGCAACTCGTGACACCCCGTTTAGCCGCACTCGTGTTATAACACGTCATTTTATCAGTTAAGAATAAGATGCACCATTACTACTGTTGGCTGGTGTAGAACTTCAACATTCACAAAGATTTCAATATGCTAACTGTTCCGCTACTTTTCTACGCAGTGTTTGGATCATCGCCTTCAACACATCCTTCCAAGAGAACGCTTGAAAACTTATGAGAGGGCTCGACTCGATACATACAGCGCCGCCGCGACATCTACGATTCATAGAGTGAACAGTTCTCCTAACCTCTGTTGCTCTCCTCCTCCTGTGGTTCTCAGTTCATGAGTTGACTGGCAGTGGCTACTGTGGCTAGTCATCAGTTGGAGGTACAGTACAGTACAGTACTGTATTGAAAATCTCGGTCTTCCATTAAGACATTTCCTAGGTGTCGCCCGTCGTTGTGGTTGACACCCTCCCCCTCCCCTCTCGCAGGGCCTTTACTGCCCCCAATTTTAAATTCACCGCCGCACACTTCCATCCTCCTCCGCTAGGGGCCTGCTCAATTCCATTCCTTTGGCCATCTATGAGTGACTTCATGAATAACGCTTATTCCGAGTAGGAACTTTATGTTGGAATTTGTGTAGAAAGGCAATCCACTATGTATCTTCAACCTAACATGTATCAATTATTTTCACACGTGTTTTCATAGCATGCATCATGTTATCTTGCCCCAGAAATCGTCACGGAATCCATACACTAAATCATTGCAGTTGAACCACTAACTAGAAGCCACTAAGAGAGAGTGGCTCTGAGCGGTACCTGAGCTGAAAGAGGGTCGTTTGTACATCTTGGAAAATAGACTGGTGGCCCTTGAAAAACTCCACCGCGCTTGATGCGATAAGTGCTACCCTGTTGATTGGATTATTGAGTCGTATGAATGTACTTTTTGATTTTGAGATAGCATGAGCCGGATTGCTCTAACAAATGAGTTAAGGAACTCTTCAGATTGAAGTCGGCAGAGATTTTAGATCAACCAGGAACATTTATTGAATGAGATTCCCATTTGTTCCGAGTGTTGATAACCTTTGTATGACGGATTTCTTGAAGCAGAGGGGTGTATTGTCTCTTAAAGTGCTTATTCTGTGAATTCTTCCGCTTGATTTAATTGGTATTCTCTCTGATCTGGTGTTCTGCAGAGAGTCTCTGTTGCATCGAGACTTGTCGATTCAGCAGTTGTATACTATGCCAGTTCTTAACAAAACCTGAAATTGGACTGACGTATGTTTCATGACGCTATGAAATTGGAGGAGTGTACCCTCAAACTGCGGAAATGTGATGCACTTTTGAAAGATAATTTGATATCTTCTGTCGGTATCAACAACGGAGAACCCGTCGGCATCGATTCAAACGGAAAACTGGATGATGAATTTTCTTTGGAAAAGCATGAAGTTGACGACACGCAGGACGTACCCGAAGAGACTGTTCCTGAGATTGGAGGTGTCTCCAGAATGGGAAATTCGGACGTGTTAACGCAGCAATCCATTTCTCTTGAAAATTCTGATGAACATCGCTCAACCGAAGAACGATTGTCACCTATAAATTTGACCGAAAACGAAGCCCCGCCGAAACTTGCGAATGGACTTGTGAAAGCGGAGAACAATGCAGCTATGTCTGAGGAATCTGAACCTCCTGTAGAGCCAATCGGTTTGCACTGTCTGAAGGGCGGACCGAAGCAAATGAAGTGCGAAGAAAATTCTTCCGAAGATGAACCTGTGAAGATTTTGATACCCTCACTTTCAAACTTCACCCCTTCGTCTGAAGGAAGACGGAAGCGTTCGGCTGCGCAATTAGCATCCGTTCGTTTGATCGCGGACATCCCCCTGCGTGTGCCAAAGAAGCAGCGTCTCAGCACTGCGTCTGATTCATCGAAGTCCAACACCGTTAGTATTGTGAAAAGTGCAAAAAAAGAACCATGCGTTGAACCAAAAGGGAATTCCTCGTCAAACAATGTTTTACCAAGCAAGAATGCGTCTTCCTTGTCCAAGAAAGTTTCGTCGAAAAGTACTTCGAAATCAGATAAGGTAATACTGTTCGTGATAGCAGTACAGGATGCTCTATGTACAATTTGTATTCATTTCAATCTTTAGGGAAACTTTGTTGGCAAAAGCTGTACGGATCAAACTGATCGAATTGTGGAGATTCCGAAACCTCTCAGACTGAGCAGTTGGTTGGATGAAGTGGCCAATTGCTCTCCGCCTTCCGTTTTCGCCGTCAAAAGCAAGCCGATGCCAACCATTCCCTCATTTCAGCTACCTGCTCATTCTGTACAAAGTGTGCCTTACATAGCCTCTCCACCTATGTTCTACGACGATCACTCCAGCGACTTTCTTACACCCTATCCATCGTTTATTGAAAAGTCATCTGCTGCTGAGGAAGTTTTCTTCAATTGGCATACTGCGTCAGATAAAACAGAGACGATCACTGACCATGACTTATTTGAAAAGACGAAACAGGAAGATTGGGCTGTGATATTCGCCGCACCGCCGAGTCCACCTCAAGAGTCTGTTTCCGAAATTAAGTTTGAACCGTCTACTGGAGTTCGTAAGGTCATTAACCCAATTCGGCTTACTGATACTGATGTACTGTGTTCCTACTGCAAGAAGATCGTAAAGAAAGCTTCATTTCGTGCCCACGTGAACACCTGGCATCAGAAAATCGGCCCGTATCGGTGAGTGTTGAAGTGTGCCTGACCTTTGGAAATAAGTTTTCTGATTAAAGATTTGTTTTAATGCACTTATACTTGTACGTTCCAAATAATAATAGAAATTCCTTGAATTATTCCTCTACCAGGTGTGGGATTTGCGATAAGGGCTTCGTGCGGAAAGGAGATGCGCAGGTACATATGAAAATGCATGACAACCCTGGGTATTCTGAGGATATTTCCGTCAGTGGGTTTTCCGACTCATTGAGTACCACCGCCGAGGACTCGAATAACTGTTGGCCGCGGATGGAAATCTCCAACAGCGAGTTTCCCATCGAAGCTTCTGATGTTGAACTCACCAACTCGTCCTTCATGTCGGATGAAGTACCGCTTGAAGCTACGCGTGAGTTTTGACGTACATTATTGTAATGAGAGAAGAATTTTTGTTTAGGAAGTGACGAATTTGTTCAGTTTTTAACTTGTGTCTCCGGAACATTCATAATGCAAACAAAATGAATAGGTTTGTACTTGAAAAAGTAGATACAGTACTTCACTGTAGCTACCCGTCCTCTGAGTGTACAGTAGTTCCAAAAGTGTTCGTCTCCAATTCCGCAAAAATTCTACTGAAGTCAAATTCGTTGGCTGTTGAGAAAGTGACCAAAGAAGGTTCTTGAAGAAGCCTGAACGCATGAAAATCCTAAAGAAGTGTTTTCAATTACAGTACTATGGAACGCTTCTGTTGTAGCAAGGCATTGAAGGGAAAAATTGAATATATGATTAATTGGAATTGACAGCCATGTTTTTGGTGATTCGTTGGACTTACGATAAACCGTTCGTAATCAGTTGATATTTCGGAATCATGTTTTTACAGGTGGACCTCTCTGAGTCAAATTTGAAGGGATTAAAAATTTATTTTTAGAGAGGTTTGAGCTAGGAAACTGTGTCTGAAAATGCTTGTTGTAAATTTTAAAATCATTAATTTTGGCTGATATTTCTGCTGCCACTGTGTCGAGTGTGTCCAAACCTTTTCCTCAAATATTTCCGCTAAATGGAAGAGGCTAACCGGAGGAAACTGTTGCATGAATGATTCTACGGGATGCAGAACCTCAAACCAAAATGTTACGAACCACTTAGATTTTTCTAATTTTCCCTGTCGTTGACATTACAAATTGAATTTCCTCTCCTTCCTTGTATGGAAAATTTTGATTGGGTAGGTTCACAGTTGAAATATTTTGAGTCATAGAGTTTCAGGTTACATTGTTTTACTTCAGACAGGAACTAGAAAAAAAACTCGAATTGGTGAGGTTTTGGACTTGAGAAGGTTCCATTTGAGGAGGTCTGTCTGTGTGTTCCATCGCAGTTCATTTTATGTTAGGGAATGTGCGTAGTTCTCCGATCTCCGTTTTTGGTTTCTTCAATTACATTTTGTTCCATTTTCAGAGTTGGTCTCGGTCACAACGTACGAAGAACCTCTCGAAGAGCAGCAGCAGCCTGGTGAAACTGATCTCTTATGCTACGATGAAGAAGGTCTTCTGACACCTTTCGCCATGCATCCCGTCGTGAGACAAGTGTCTTCCTCGGAACTGGAGCGCCAGGTTTTGTCTGAAACGGACGTCAGAGAGTATTTAATAATCGATGACTCTAGTATCAATGTTTTCACGTGCCAGTACTCGTGTGTATCAGTACTTGATGAAGCATCTCTGTCCCCCCAGCGTCTCCACGAGGTTGTAGAATCGTTGTTCAGGTGAATGTTGAGGTCTAGTCGGGTCAACTATTTTGTGCGTGGGTGTTTCTAGTCTAGCGTTTTCCATTCCTTCGAAGAGTATCTCAGGCATTGCCGAGGTTAAAAAAAATCTCAAGATCTTTGCAAGATTTCTTTGTTGTGTCCTTTGCTTGTACTGATTCATTTTATTCATGAGACGATTACCTTTTTAATCCTTTTCTCATCGATGAAAGGAATTCATCGCCTTGGGAAAACGATTGTGGAATTGATGAACTGCATGTAAATTATGCGATCATGTCCCATCTTCTGAATAAATAATTTTCGGATTACGATCGAAAATCTGGGCCCGAATCACCGCGCTGATAATTTTAAAAATATGTTTGAGAACTTTGATGGCATCCTGTTTGCCTTGAGTAATTCATTTTCAATTGTCGATGAATTAGATCGCTTGCAAAATGAATTCCTATTTCTCAAAAATCTGGAAGCTCAGCAGTGTATCCAAGATGACAAATGCGAGAGAAATAGTGAAATTGACTGCATTGGTATATTTTTTTCAACCCGGAATTTGTCGGACGAATTTTACGTTGAACCTCAACTTTTAAGCTCATACGGTTTTTTCATGATTTGTCAGTTCAATGGCTGAAGGACTGCAGTTTCATCCCATTTTATGAATTTGAAAAATGTGTAGCGCTGTAGTCGGTTTTGATTTTTTTGACGGTTTTCAAGAAATCAACGAAATATGAACGATCCGCGATAACATTTTTTTTGTGGCGATCATTTTACGAATTCCTCGAATTCTCCCCCGCTTGGATGAAACAAACTTTTTTCTGTTTGTCAGCATTCCCAGGGACTATATGGAATATTTGAAGTGATCTCACTCTATTGTAGGTACGTGCGTTAAATTTTGCAACGAAGTTTCTGAAAAGATATAGACCTTATTTTTCATGATGAAATCAAATCTCCAGTTGGGTTTGTGCCACGTAATCGTTCGCGATATTAACCCAAAAAATATTTCGGTGACGCGCTTTAAACGATTTTTTTTTCTAGTGGTCTTGAGTATCTGATCGGGGTTTTTTTCGTTGTGTGGACTTGAGGAGAATAGAAAGTTTTCCATAAAATTCTGTCTATATAAAGACGTATTTTATTATATATTTTTTTCGGATTTAATGCTGGTGTGAAGTGTACAGTTACATTTTATGCATGCATTGAGGAGGGGGAATATGACACCTCTGGTGCTGGGAGATGTTTGTGCCAGTTCCTGTGACCTTTCCTTTGTGGTCAAGTGGATGAGTCTGGGGGCATTTCTTTACTTGTTTCAAGCACTGGCGAAGTTTCTTCTGAACAGTGAACTTCGGAAGCTATGTGCAGGCGTGTGTGGTTGGTGAGTGATTTCCTGTCTTGTCTGACTCATGCAGGGTGTAAGTGCTTCAGGCTACTGTGATTGTTAATTGGATTTTTTCGAAGCTGCAAATGTGGTTGATGAGATTTCCTGCCATCTTCGTCCCAAGTTGAAGCCAAGTTGATTTTTTTTAGACAGGACTGGAACCTTGAGGGTAGCTAATTTTTGAACTAAATCTCCCGTGAAACGGAATTTTTTCTGCGCAAGGGGGAAGGCAATTGTCCAAAGAAAAATTAAATGCTTGACAAGAACTTGAACTTTCATATGATATTGCTGGATGAATGACACAAATTTGAATGCTTTTTGAGATGGAAACGCGTTGGAATTGTGGGGTTATGGAATTTTTAAATGCTGTTCAACTGCTGAAGGTTTTGCGTAATTTTGGCCAAGAACCGATTTTCAACAGAGCAAAAAACTCGTGTTCTTTTTAACATAATGTAAATAAATGAATGCCAGAAATTAACAGTGAAACCTCCCACATGGTTTCAGCTGACACTTGAAAAAAAGTGGGCCTAAACTATTGCAGCTTTTTTGGCCTCCCAATGGCCCTTGATTTTATGCGTTGATCAATTTGAATGGCTAGAACCATATAAACCAGTGAAAAAAATTGCGAACCCCAATTTAAATTTATAATTTAATTTTGTCATTAATTTGATTACCAGCAATATGATCTGCTTGGTGTGATCGTGTTGATGGGTTCAATCTGTCCTTGATCTGTCGTAAAATTGCTTGTGATGGTGGTTATCCATGATTTTGAATGATATCTTATAGGAACATTCCTCTTATGCAGTGATAAATGAGTGATATATGGCTGTTATACGCCATTTGGAAAACCTGAGTTGGGCTCATGGCACAAGTATACATGGAACTTCATTCTGTAGTAAATTGAGACATGATCTAGAGATCTGAAATTTTATTGCGAAATTGTGAATGTGAAAACAGGCAAAAACCTTCAGGCATTCTTTTTTCAATATTTCATGCTGGTGAATTGTTATGTAATGGTAAAATCTTCTTGCAACTACTGTACTGTAACTCTTCGGAACTTCAGAAAAAGTTTGTTTTACTGAAAAATTGTTGACAAGATTTTCTCCTTTGATGCTTGAAACAATATTTCAAATCAGACTTGTTTATGATAAATTAAAGATCTTTTTCTGGAATTCTGAGGTTTTTTATTATTCTATGAAAAACTGAGTGATGTGAAATTTTTATTTTCTATCATACATCCAATCAGTTGTAGCAATCTCTTCATTATGGGTGATGATGTGATGAACAACTTGGAAGCATGTTTGACATTGATTACAGCTTCCATAAGTGTTACAAGAACCAGCTGTCATGCACATACAGTATATATTTGGGATCAGACATTCCAGACTGTGCCTTCTTTGGTTAGGAAATTTCTACCTGGAGAATCTATTAAGCATATACAGCAGTGGGACAAAAATTTTCACACTGGAATTGGGAGCTTTGTTCTGCAAGAAGTTTCATATTGGAATCGGGAGCTTTGTTCAAACAAAGATTGCTTCAACACATTCTCTGTATAGGCTTTAAGCCAGAACTTGAGAAAAGTTTGTTATGCTGAAAAAAATGTGTCATGGTATTCATTATAATGAAGTTTGACTGTATTGCGGTTTGATTGAATTATTGAAATGAGTCATTGTCTTCACAGATTCTAACCATAATTATGTGGGCTCATTATAGTTCTTTGTCAAGAAGTTCCCAAAAAGTGAGGTTGAACAGGGTACTGAAAGAATTGCTTTGTGAATGACTTCCATCTGTTGGAAGGTTTCGTCTGTAACTGACTGATAACTGAGTTTCCAAGAGATATAAATTCTTCTTGAATTTGAATTAATGAACAAAAAATCGCTTTTGTGACTGAAATTCTATCATCAACGTTTTTGTTCAGGCCTTCTTGCTACTTCTTGTTGCATGTCCTCACCATGCGCGTGCGAAGTACACCTTGGGCGATCTGCTTGGAGTGAACAAATCAACAGGGCATTTGGAATTTGAAGGGAGACAAACGTTTCAGTTTGACAGAAATGGCGCAGCAGTCACTTTCGGAGCTGAGCACATTGGCGCTTTGCTCCGTGCTCTTCTCTGGCAACACGGCCTCTTCATCATGATGCAAGCCTTCGTTTTCCCAATGTTCATACACATTGCTGGAGACAGCAGTGATGATGGAGAGCTGAGCTTTTATGATAAATATGTGAATTGGTGGTCTGATACAGCTCATGAATTTGGGAGACTTGTGATGAAATTATTTGATGTGCTTCAATAAAAAAAATTTCTTTGGGTCTTTTCAGATTGAGACAGTTTACTCTTTATTGAGTGAGGCAAACAAAATATTTGTGTGATTGACATAAGGTGTTCATGAGATTCTAAAATTTACATCGCTTTGTCCCTTAAAAAGCTGTCAATTAATTGCAGGATGTGTAGTGTGCAATAAGTGGATTGTGGCACCAGTGTTAACCCCTCACAAGAAAGTACTGCACAGTACCTGGTTTCTAAGGTAATTCATAGGAAACTGGTCACATAAACAACGAAATATAAACTTCTTCCGCTTACAAAAATATGGCCCAGCCATCAATTTCTCTTTAGCACCAAGAATTGTGGCATCAGTGGTGGGGTTTCTTGATGCCATCAAGTTTTTATTGTCAAGGGGAAAGGCAGGAAAGCCAATCAAGAAATACAGGTGGTACAGCCTTTCTTGATACAGGTGGTGTACCTCACAATTTGACCCTAATCTATTGCTAAATTAGGGTCAAATTGCGAGGTACCACCTGTATAAGGCATTCTTTTTGGGGTTGGTGATGCCGATTAATACATTGGAATTTAGCAATGCCCTTATAGATTCCTAGCATGTCCATAATATTCCCTACATGATTTTCGTCTCTACACATTTTGAGGAATCATGTAAAATTCTCGCATGTTTTTTTTAGCGACAGATCTTCAAGAGCATGTGCTGCGACATCTATTGATGAATACAGGAAGCAACAACATAATTTCATCAGATTCCAATCTCAGCTGTGCACTAGATAGTCTACTCCAGATTAGAGAAAAATTTCGAAAACTTCACATTTTAATCATTCATTTAATTGATTCATTCAATTATTTAAGTTCGGATGAATACAATTCGAAAAAGCCCAGGGAAACCGGAAATTTTTTAAAAGATTAGGAAATTTTTTGTGAAACTTTTTATTGGCTTCAAATCCTAGCTTCGTTCTTGTCGTTCTGAGCACCATGGGATAGGAAAACGTGAATCAGTAAATTGAAAATCGATACAATGAAAAGTGGAGAAGTGCATTTCTTGCTCCATGAGCTTTTTGCAAAACCTAAAATATCAAGCGCTCTAAGAACAACCAAGGACCAATATTTAAATAAAAAAAAATCGTAAAAAAATTATGCCCGTTCGAGATACACGTTGGGATTGTGATCACCCTCAGATCCCGACACACTGTGCACTGAAGTCAGCAAATCTTCTTCCGCAGGATGATCCGAAT